GCACATGTTAAACCGTTTCAAAACCACAAAAGCTGAATCCAGGTGATGAACAGGTTTATCCAAGAGTATTAATAATGAAGTACCAAATGCTTATCAAATTTCACTTAGAATTCACATTACAAACCTTGGAAGATGTGCATCGGAGAGGATACTGCCTTATTTATTCTCTTTTTTTATAAAGTGCTGTCATCTCTAGAGACTCCAGGCAAATAACAACAATACTGTAAAGCATGCAAACAGGTACATAATATTAAAATATCCCTGTATCCAACTATAATAAGGACCAACCATATTCTCTTTATTATCTTTTTGCATTATAGGAATTTAAATATCCCCTCCCCACAAAAAACTCACCAACAGAAACTCTAAAAATAGAGAAAGGCCCCATCACCAACTTGCATGAGATCATCAGCCTATTCTCTGTGATCTCTGGACACTCGAAGTAATACTTTTAAAAATGCAGCCCCTGGAAGCAAGAGAGGTCAGATGCTTATTACTTAAGGTAAATCCACATGGAATCTATAACTCAGTATGACATTTTGAACAGCTGCTCCTCCATTCTGCACCCACACTACCCTCCCTACTTTCAGAAAATGCAGTCCCATCTCCCACCCGTCAATAGGCATTTATGGTATTCTCACTCCAGGGTGTCTACAGGATGTGGTCAGAAAAGTGAAGATGGCAACTGTGACAGTGTTATCAAAATGTTACATGTGCTGTACGTATATGGCCCCTACTTTGACTTTTTTTTTTTTTGCTACACCTTGTGGGCACTCCTGGCTCACTCACTGCACTCTGTTAAATGAGGAGGAGTGCATCCTTTTGAATACTTCAGTACCTCCCTGTTCGTTTTCAGTTACTACATTTTGGTTAAAACTCTGCTAGTGCTACCCAAGACTAGTGTGATGTCAGGGTTGATCTAGCAGAGTGAGAGAATGATTGGAGAAATACCGCTTCAGTCCCCACTCAGCATGACATTTATTGGGCAACTGAGAGAGTCATCCTCTCCCAGGCTAAGGCTGAAGTCCAAAGCCTAATTACCCCCAGCACTAGTGAAGTCCAAGGAACTTACTTCCAAGTAGGCCTGTCCAGCATTTACATTGCAACCTATTTCACAGACATATGAAAACAATACAGTGGGGAAATAAAGGAACAAGCACTTATGCCACCCTAAACTCCTTGCAGGAAGAATGGAATAGAAATGTAGCTAAAGATAAGAGAATCAAGTGGAGAAAAAGTGATAGAAAAAATTATGACTGATTTTTTTTTCTTTTTTGAAGGCCATAACAAACACGTGAGCTTTGCTTGCTACTTTTGTAGATTCTAAAATATATTTAAATAAGGAGGTTTCTGAATTTGAGCTTCAATTTCAACATTAGTTCATCTACATTAGCTTAAGAATGGGAAAGGGAAAGCTGAAATAAACCATGTAGCTGAAAATCCTTTGAAATATCCTTTTGTTTCACTCCTTTATTGTCTGATGCGTCTATGTTTTTCTAAAGATACATTTTCCTTAAGCAATGTGGCTCATTTTCACCATATTTAAATCACTGTTTTGACTGCTGGGTTTTGAGATTCCTCCCACACCCATACCCCAAAACTGCTCAGTAGGCTCCCATCTGCCCCTCATTAGCCTATATCTTTGTTTCCCCAGTCAGATTGGGCACACTTCCAACAAAACACAGGGTTGCTGAAACTCACTATCTTTATTTCTAAGAATGCCAATGGCTGGCACTTTGCTATAGAGCAAGTTAATTTCCTATTAATGGGAAATTATTAAAAACATTAAAGAAAATAAAAAAATAAAGAGCATCATGGAACCACAAGTGCTAAAGGAGGAATACCTGGGCCCATTTTAAAGGAATGCAAGAAATTCTTGTATTGAGTCAGCGTTTTACTCCATTAAGCTTTGTATTGTCTAGACAGGTGAATAGTCTTCCTTTAGTCTTTCCAAACCATCTTGAAAAATGACAGGTGACCCTTCTACTTCATGCTGTAAAATATATAGTTACATAAAAGCTAAACAATTACCTGTTTTAACACATAAATAGGTCTAGATAAGAGGAATGATACTGCAGATTATTCCTTTCTCTGCATTTCAGTTAACCTTTAATAGTTTCTTTCCCCCTCTTCTAAAAATCCTCACTGTCAAAGCTATCCTTACTTGAACAAACCACGGCTTCTTTTCAAGAAATACTCCCCAGATCATAAGCATGCGTCTCCTTAATTGTCATCTATCCGCTGTTGCCCACACTGGAATATATGATACCAATGAGAAATAAGTTGCAAATGTCAAGATTTTTTAAAGTGATAGCTATATCGCTTTGTCCTTGGCTTAAGTTACATTTGAATGTTTATGGAAATATAATAAAAATAAAGAGGAGAAGAAATGGAGTGTTTCCCTTATCCTTAGAGTAGATATCACCCCTGCATTAAACACATTCTGCAAGTCTACTGTCCTGATAGAGCAATAAACTTGCAGAATGTGTTCTCTTTGCACTCTCTCCTTTATATCAAAAGTAAGTCATGACTCCGCATTGTTTTTTTGGCATAACGTAGAAGAGGTGCTGCCTTCTGGGATGTTAATTCAACTTCACAGTGTAGCCTATAGATCTGGGTTCTTAAGTGGACTCCCATCCAAGTGCGAACCAGAGAGGGGAGCTGCCAGCTTATATTGAACTTATATTATCAACTTTTCCCCTCGGATCCAGCTCCCATTTATACAAAGCCAAAGAGAAAAGGATCTTGAAATGCATCTTAAAAATGATTCTCTCTACTCTTTAATTAATTTAATTAATTGCAATTAATTAACTTATTCCTGGCAAAATAGAAGACGTTTGTTGATTGCTAACATCCCACTGTGTTTGGGTAGGTTGGTTTTATTTTTCTTATTCTCTGCTCTGCAATTCAGAATAAAATAAGTCATTTGAAGCAGAAGCCCTGGAGAGGGAAAAATACAAACTGGAGATACATGTAAATCCCTTGGTCTCTTCTATTCTTTCATTGCCCTGGCAAGGTGCTTTTTAAAACCGTAGTGGAGACTGTTGTCTATTGGAGCAGAGGGCACAAATGATTTCAGCTCGTTAGTTTGTGTTTATTGCCTGGTTCAGGTGTATCTAATAAGTAACTTCAAGGTCATATCCCATCATTAAAAAGGCCACAGTCAAGGAAATGATAGTGAGATCATAAACCTATATTGACACAAGTAATTGTGCCATTGGTTCCTGCTATATGGAGTTTATTTTTTTTTTCAAACAACTCTCCCCTCTTAAAGTAAGTCCCATCTTTTGTCAGATCCTGCTTGACCTTAGCTGCTTTCCAATATAGCTTAGATAACAAAGAAAGACAGAGATGCCCCCATAGCTCTTATGTTTTACAGAGACAATACCCCCCCCCCCCCCGCAAATAATCACAGTGAAGAATTGAGTGAGTTTCCTGAATTATCCTTTTGTTTACCAAGAGGGCAGGCAATCTTTCAACTTGGAAGCCATACATGTATTATATATGTGTGTGTGTCTGTATCTTTCCAGTTGGCCTTGCCATAGGTATGTCCTTGTAATGCAACAACATAACTAGGTAAGTAGGGTTAAAATATTTTGGCCCATTGTTTGGAGGTTGGGGGCATTGACTGTTTTAAAGGAGGAAATATAAAGCCTTGCAGAGGTTTCATACATTTACTTTGACCTGAGAAGGGAGAAAAATTAATGTTGAAGATCTGCCATTTCATTGCTGAATTTTGCCAGAGGTTTGGGGATCATGAGTTGGAAACAGGATATAGGTTGACCATCCCTGGATCAATCAAAATAATCCATAATTTTCAACTACTTTTGCAGAAACAATGGAAGAAACAGCTCCTGCTTTCAAGAGCAAAGGCTAGCTTTTGGTTTTCCTATTTGCAAAAATAATACTTGAGCATCTCTGCAAGGGACAAATTAAAAAAAGAAAGATTCCTTCCTACCTAGTGATACATGGCTCTCAGCTGGGTGCCATCAATTCCCATATGGTTTGCAATATGGTTATATTGTAAGATGCCAGTTTCACACTGAGGTGCCATGTATGAAATGTTAAGCACACTATTATGCCCACTGAAAGGATAGATATAGTTGAAGATTATCAGTTTCTGCCAATCCATTTATTTCTTCATTGCTAACACAGTTTTCAAACAACCAAAACAACACCTATATACATGGAGTACACAGAAATCAAATTGACTATATTATTGGTGGAAGGAGGTAGAAGAGGTAAGTTATAACAGCAAAAGCAAAGTCCAAAGTTGGACTAGGAAGAAGTGAAATAGAAAGAATATTGATGCTTTTGAACTTTGGTGTTGGAGAAAACTCCGAAGAATGTCATGGATAGCCAAACAAACGAATGGATCATAGGACCAATTAATTCAGAGTTCTCACTTGTGGCACAAAAACTAGCCAACCAACCCTAAATTATCCTATTTTGGAAACATTACGGAAAGACTTAGCTTTCTGAATAAGTTTATAATGTTGGGAAGGGTGAAAGACGGGAGGAAGACAACTGGCAGCAAGGTAGGTAGACTGGATTATAGCTGTGATGGGTGCACCATTGGAAGACCTGAAGGGCCAGGTTGGGGCTAGATTATCCTGAAGAAGGTCTATGTGCTTGTTAACAGTCGGCACCGACTTGATGGCCATAATCAATCAATCATTATTGAGTTTTGGAAGTCTTTCTGGGTACGACTGGAAATGTTTAGAAAAAGAATTTTTTTTCTTCTTCTTTTTAATTGAGGCCGCTTAAGAAAACAATCTGATTTGGATGAAGGGGGCTTAAAACGAATTCCTATAACAAAATTACTTCTAATTACATGTGGATTGGAGGTGGGTTAGAAAGCACGCGCGTAATTTTGCTTAAGAACCGACAAAGTTAACAGAAAGTTTTATTTTTTACACCCAGGGGGCGCAATGGGATTATTGAAACGGTCGACTAAGGCGACTTTTGCCTTTTCCAAACTTTTAAGATAACAAAAGGAAGTGAGATTGAAGTAAAGGGATTTTAACAAGGCGATATGGCAAGGTCAAATGACTGACTTTTTCGCGGATCGACTTTTCACAGACCAACCCTCGCTCTGCAACAGGTAAATTTATTGTTTCCGTGCACCTCTCCTTAACTTCTCATGTCGAGTTTAACTTCCTTTCCGCGCGTGTTTTGGGGAAGCAGTGGGGTGTAGGATTTCTGCATTGAACCCCTTTCCCAACGAAGAAATACGTGCATTTTATTTTCTGTTGTAATTTTGAAACAGGCTTGTGCATACGCGGCCGGGAAACAGTTCTTATGTCCAGCACTGGCTTGGTAAAATGCATATTATAATTTTTGCTTCTTCATATAAATCTATTTGTACACGTATTCGTGGACTAATATTGGCTAAAGTTAGGTATAGGTTATGTAAAAAGTGTACTGTATTAGTAAAGGCAATCGTTTAGGAAAATTAGTATAATTTTCTTAAAATCCTACCTGTGGGAAAGCTTACTGTGAACATGTAATTAGGAGATATATAAATTACATACATCCCGTTTATCTGTCTTTATAAACCTTAAAAATAAGTAAGAATTTAAATTAGTACATAAATATTATATATGTTAATTATCCTAAATGTATTTCAAAAAAATATGCTGTATTGAAGACAGTTGAAAATGTGTTAAGTGGGCTGTTTTTGTTTATATTGCAATCCTATCTGTACTTTAAAGTAAATCCCACTTTTCAGTCAGCCTATTTCCAGTAAAATATTGTATAGGATTGCTGCCTAAGAAAAAAAATCACGATAACTAGAGGATTTTAATGAAACTGCAGGTGCTGTATTTCCAATAAAAACTTAAACATTGTCATTAGTGTAGTAATCACATTATATAGGCAGACCATTAAAAAATCATTGCCATTTTCCTCCTTTTTTAAAAGAGAAGGTAGCAGGTAGGAGAATGAAATGTTAAAAGGAAACATTAAAAAAAATTAATTTAATGAAGAAGTTCATTCTGTCTTTCAGAGCTTCATCACATGTGGTGGGATTTCACTCTATACTGCTTGAGCTGATGAAAGAAAAGTTGGGCAGAATGGCTGCTTGTGATGTATGATGGCCATGTCACACGTATGAGCCATTGTTTGAAGTAAGGAAGATGCATGTGACTTGAGGCAATACAGATAAATTGCTGTCTTGCAGCCAGCTTTCACAATAGTATAGTTCTCTCTGTGTCCAGTGATGTTTTTTAGGATGTCTATAAGACTGGAGACTTAATGATTTTCTATTAAAGATTGTAATTACAATAGTAAAAACTAATACAAACTGAAAAAAAAGATAGAAGAATAAAAAGAAAGAGTGGAAGGTGCAGAAAAGAAAGAAAAAATCAGAAAGAGAAAGAAAAGTAAGAATATACTAAAGAAAAAGAAAAGAAATATATAAAGAAGTGACTCCCACCTTCATCACAAGTATAAAAATTTTAGTAACTTATCACCTCCTCTTAAAATACAACAAATGATCTCTTCTTCCCATTTCCCATCTCTTATCTATAAACAAATCTATAAAACATCATCACTTAATTATTTTCAAGACCATTTGGACTGACATCTTTTAATTTAATAGATCATTATAGCAATATAAAAAGTGTAGGTTCATTATTTTGATAGAATGAGTGCAACTAGCATTGTGGTCACCTTACATCTTCATTTAATGTTTTATGTGCTTTGGAACGTGTTGAGTTGTTCCTGAGGTTTGGATATTGTTTTGTTTTGTTTTCTTAATGCAGCTTTTAATCTATAGTGTTGCTCTTAAAACCTCTTTGATTCCTTGTAGGGAGAAACAAGCCAAAACTATTTAGATGCTCCAAACATTTCCTTTCCCCCTTTTTCCCCAGTGTGAATCTCTTATATCTACTTGCCTTATTGCAAGTGATGTAATATTGATTGATTGATTGATTGATTGATTGATTGATAGTCCTGTCACCTTTTCTTACTTTTGGACAAAGCATACTTATGGAGGACATGAATTTTTACAGTATAACCTAGTGCAGTGTTTGTCAACCTTGGCAACTTCAAGATGCGTGGACTTCAACTTCTGGCTGGGGAATTCTGGGAGTTGAAGTCCACCCCTCTTAAAGTTGCCAAGGTTGACAAACACTGACCTAGTGAGTAGTTTGGGTGAAGTATGAACATCAGTAGGGGTTCTCTCTAGTAAATGTTTAATGGGACACAAGGATTACTTTTGCACATGTACAAATGTCTTCCACATTCTGGTCTTGTAGAATTCATGTTTTTAGGGATGCATAAAATATCATTCAAATGAATACATAGAAGTTACGGCTATGTCATACAGGAACATCTTCTAGCCTGAATTCACATGGTGTAAATATACGAAGAGTGCAATCTCTCTAGTGCTGTTTGCTGCAAGGCCCATACTTTAAGCTCAGGAACTTCTGAGCCAGGTTCACTCACCATCCTGCAGCTTAAAAGTCTTTTTAAAAGTGGCTGGGTTTATTTTAAGCCAGTAACTTTACTCAGGGTCCTATGAAATGGCAGGTTGAAAAGGACAGATTTATTGTCCCTAATCAACCAATCATTTAGGTCATTACAGCCTCATTACAGAAAGCCTGGCTGGAGAAGGAGGAGTCTTCGTTTCAGCTTCTTGTACAAACCAGTGAGCTGTAAAGACAGTTTGCAAACTTTACTGGAGCTGTGCAATTATCAAGCTGGCTCCCTTCACTTTTTACCCCCTTCTTTTTAAATTGCGGACATAAATTTCAAACATAATAAGTGATTTGCAAGATAGGCCAATTTGCATTTGAGTCAATTTGTTTCTCTCTCACAAGTAACATGAGGAATTGGAAAAGCATGGAAAACTAGGCTTCTTAAATTGTTTCATTTCTTAATTTCTGTATGATACAGCTACTTTATAAATTAAAGACTTTCTCACACAAAGTCTGCTCGTTGTTCAGAAATTTTAATCTTTGAAGCTTTGGGATGGAGAAATACCAGGGGGTTAAAAGTGACCAGTGTCCCTTTAAAAGTTTCCAGTTCCATGTTGTAAAAATGTAGAAGGAAATGGTGTAATAAAACCATGTAATAGCTTCTTCCCATAGGGACTTTAAATAGGGAAAATTCAGTTGCAGTTTTTGTGCCAGTAACAAAGATTTTAAAGCAAACATTGTGGAGAATCAGCATTCCTCAGGTTTGAATGTTTTCTCTTGATCATGTTTAAAATTAAAAATGTGAGCCACCCTGTCTTTCCTTTCGTTTCCTTTGTCACTCAACTTTGATTTTCCCCTGAAAGATCTAAAAATGACCCTTCCTTTCTAATGGGTGCCGATATAAAACTTTCAGAAGCCTCTAGCCGATTCTTGCCCTGTGTGCAAATGCTTGGTATGAGTAATAATGATCAAACAGTGTTGTGATATTTACTGTACGGTTTATCTCTCAACATGTGTTGCACAGGAGATCTAAAATGCCTTAAAATCAAGTGTTCGTTTGCTTTAGGTCATCCTCATTCAGCTGGGGGTGGTGATGATTCACCACCTGCATTGAAGTCAGTACTGAGGGCTTTAGTTGAGATCTTAGTTGTCTTAATGAGGTTCTGCCTCCTTTAACGTGTATGATTCCCCTAACCATGGAGTTAATGAGAGCGGATACCCGTACCATCAGCCCCCAGACAGTCTGCCACATGCATAGAGCTAACTCCAAAGTGGTGGTGAAGTACCCTCCACTATTCCCACTCCCTTTACCCTTTACCCTGGTAATTATCCAACCTCTTATGACCCTCCTGTCTATTTCTTTTATCCTGGCCTCTATGCCTATTCTCCTTGGCAGACACAGCTGAGCCGATGAAGAGTGCAAAAGAGTCCCTCCGTCTGCCACTTTCTATGTGTGCCCCCACTCTAAATAAAAATAAGGGTCATTTTTCTGGATCACACACCAGGGCCACGACAAATGAGTCCCAAAGGCTTTGATGCCTATGTTTGGACACAAGCAATTATCTCTAATTATTGTTTTTCTTTTCAGTTTGCCCAACATTAAAGAACCCTGCGAAGCAGCTTTAAAAAGGGGGCTCAGGAGAGTGAATAATATATTTCTTTAGACGATTCCCCCCTACGCACACACCTCCTCCTCCTTTGTAACGTTCCCCTCCCTCAATGTTTCCATATCGATGGAGACACAATCTTCACAAATGTTCAGCACACAATACAGATTGGGCTTGCGTGTGGACCTTTTTTTAAGAGTGTGTATGTGTAGATGGTTCTTAAGACAAGATGTAAACATTTGTACAAATAAGTTGCAGATGGCAAAGAACATGGAAGCTGAATATGTATTAGGGGTGGTGACATGGGGGAAAGTAAAGAAGTAAACTTTAAAAACTTGTTTTAAAAGTTTAAAATATTCAACTTTCCCACAAGTCATAAAATATTAAAATGTAGTCAGTTTTTTTTATAAGCAAAGAAACAAATAGTTAAAGAATGAAAAATGACTTCTTGTTTGTAGCACATAATAGATTGAGGATAATCGCTGTATACATATTTTGGGTATTTTATTGACCACATTGTTAAATGCTCATATTAACGTGTCTGCATTAATGTGTATGAATATAAGATGGGCATGCACACAGATACATACACCAAACACAACCAAAGAATGTTCCAAACTTTGGAAAAGTCAAACTGCATTTATTGAAGATGATTTTAGCCCTGTTAATTTTAATACAACTGATGCTTCAGTCCTGTGCACATTTATTTGGATTGAATTTACTAACATTTCTTACACAATCATAAGAATTATTAGGCTGAGCTGAAAATCAGTTTCAGTGATTATTTGGCCCTTAAAACTGACCAAAAATGCACTCATTAACACATTCCCTTTATTGATTCGGCTATGGATATTTGGATGTCAGACATTCTTTGTACAAGATATATCTATATTTGGATATCATAGTAAGCAAGAATGATAAAGAATGCTGGTTTACTGAATACAAATGATGTCCTGATACAAGTACTTCATTACTGCTCTTTGGCTCCTCCTGTTAAACAGACAAATATGGATAACTCTCTCCATGATTTTGTAGTTACATGAGAATAAGAAGTTAAGGTTTTTTTTCTCTCTCTC